GGTAGATTTTTCCCATATTTAACCGATGTGGGACATTGTTTACACCTCAACAATCCTCCCCTCAAACAAAGTACCACATAGGTCGGACCACAAAGGACCACCGAGCCTCCCCTCAATTTGCGCCTGGGGCTCACACCATCTTTGTTTCAGAGCGCACCGAGCCTCGAACAAAGGAACACCGAGCCTCCCACCTGGAGTTCGTCGAGCCGCCTCCATTTGCGCACCGGGAGCTCACCATTTTTGTTCGGCACCGAGGATTCGAGAATTTCCACCACATGGTTAGGTCTGGGCCATGCTTTAAATATTACTTTAGATACTGTGATCAATGCTTTAAAAAGCAAAGAGCTTGAATTGGGAATTAATAGGGATAAATCATTTAGTGAGGTTAATTTTACTAAAGTAAGTCAGCCTAATCGCTTTCAAAACTATAAGGCTTCTTCTAGTCAAATTGATCAAACTAAGAAAAATGGTGGAGATTGGAGTAAGCCAAAGGCTAATCCTAATAGTAGAAGGTGCTTTAATTGCGGTGACCATAGTCATTTCATTAGTGATTGTCTCAAGCCTAAGAAAAACCAACATAGAGATCAAGCCAATATGATATCCGACGGTGGTGATGTATTCTAATGTGTTAGAATATTTGCATTACTTTGTGTTTTGCTTGTTTTTTGCATTACTTTGTGTTTTGTTTTTTAAACTTGTACTAACTTTGTGTTTTGATTGCAGGTAGTGTCATACGGCAATGATGACTTCGTTTCTCCTAAAAGGGTCCCGATGATCCATTTGGGCCAGGTGGAGATTTGTAGAGTATGTGGCCCAAATGAATTCTTTGTGAATGGCCTATTAAAATTCCACCTTACAACCCACTTACGAGCAGCCCACAAAATTTGAGCCAAAAATTAAAGTCAGCCCAATCTCACTAGGTTTTCCCTTTAACTCTCTCTTGACCTTTTTTTTATCTCGTTTTTCTGTTTTACAGCAGATTGATTATTCAAATCTGCCCCTTTTTTCTCTCAACAAATCTTGGTGATTTGTTACCTAATTCTTCGTGAGTTTGGTGGATGATTTGGGCGTATAAGTGCACCCTTTTCTTTTTTCTGTGTGAGAGACGAGAAAAAGAGAGAAAAAATAGAGTCGAGAAAAGAGGAGAATACTTCGTGTAATTTTGGGAGGAAAAATTAGAGTGAAAGAGAGAACCTTTTTTGAGAAGCAAAGCTCGATTCTTTCGATGAATTCGAGCTTACTTCTTTAGGGATAAACCGGTGAGATTAGGGTGTGAAATTGGGTTTCGTTTTCTTCGTGTTTTTCATTGGAATACACTGTGTGTGTGCGTGTGTGTGTGGCTGCCGTGAGTGTTTGGAGGCCCCACTTGGATCTTGGACGAGGACTCGGAGATTGAGGACTGAGCCGGAGAATCGACGACCGTTGGAGCTTCCCCATTGCAGAATTTATATTCTGCCTACGGTTCTATTTTCTGTTCCTTTTATTAATTGCTGCTAATTTGCAACTATTGCGAATTCTTAATTCTGATTATTATTATTGTTGGTTTTGATTTGTTCAATTGATTCCTACGATCATGTTTATTGGTTATTGAATATTGTCTGTTGCTGATAGTTAGTTTACGGTAATGGGTGTCATTGGATTTAATAATTAATTAATTGATTTTGTTGATTTATTATATTATATTATATTTTAATTGTTTCTAATAAAACATGAGTGTTTTGATTTTGTGTGGTTTGTCTTCTCAGGGCGGATAGCCAACAGTATTCCACTCACAAACATCAAGCCGTATTCTATCAAACCAAAACCAGAAGTTGCAAAAAATATTAACGAAAACCAAAATTAGGAGAACTAGATAGATACAAAAAATTCCTAAAAAATAAAAAATTACATTAATAAAAGGTTAAAGCTCTAAGCTTTTGTACATAGTTTAGAGCCTCGAAGAAGCATAACAAAAGTACAGTGAAATAAAAAACACAATAAAACCATAAATTTCATCATTTCTTGTTTAACCTAAAAAAATTCAATTCTTGAATGTATGGTCATACCCACCTTCTGATCGTACCCACGTTCATCATCCTGGTACTTGAAGAAGACTGGTAAGAGGTAGAGGAGATGTGGAATGATAATGGAAGAGGCCAAAAAAACCACGTCTTAATTTGGGGGAAATGGTTGAGAAGTTTATTATTAAATTAATAAGGGTGTTTATGGTATTTTTGAATATTCATATTCTGACCAGTTGATAACCGAGCAAGTGAAGCGCACGCTCTGTTAGAATTGACGGAATTTTGGACGGAAGCTACCCACTCACAACCACATGGGGGTTATATGCTTGTTATAGAACCACAAGTGGGTCATGTGCAAAATAGCGAAACCACAAGGAGGTTAAGTGCTATTTACCCAAAGTTATATTATTGGTGCAAAAGAAATTTGGAAAAATTATAGAAAATCCCTCCTCTAGGAAATATATTTAAGGAAACACCCCCTCCCAAAAATAATTAGAGAAAACCCCCTTAGCTACTATTCCACCCAAGTGATATTTTCACAATTCCAAAACTACCCTTAATTGTCTATTATACTCTTTCAAAACCCTAATCTTATTTTTCATTATCTATTCCGCTTTCTCGTTTCCAGCTTTCTCCCTTCTATTTTTTTCTTCTTCTTTTTTTTTTCTCTGTTTTCTCCAGCAAATCTTCTCCCCGCCGCCGGAAAATGGAGAAAGAAACAAGAGGAAGCACTCGTCGTCGCCGTGTGGAGGAGAAGCACTCTTCTTTCTCAACAGCATGTTCCACCCCGTCGGCGTGTGGATGAAGAAGAAGAGGAACATGCTGATGAGAAAGAAGAGGAAGCACTCGTCGTCGGAGGAGAATCAACGGAAATTGTTGATTAAAGTATTTTTTTTTTGTTTTTTTACTTTTATTATTTTTTTAGTGTTTGTTTTGTCATGTATTCAGAAATTGTTTATGGATTGACCAATAATGGTTGACAAGTACTTTAAATTCCTTTTTTTTTTTTTTTTTGGACACTGAAATGCCAATTTGTGTTTGTTTTTTTTTTTGTATGAATTATTTGTGTTATTTTTTTATGAATTATTTATGTTATTTTTGTTAGGGATTGGTTGAATAGTGTGGTGTGGCGGCGGTGTGGTGACGATGGGGAGGCAAATCTAGGGTTTCTTGGTGAATCAAGCAGAGGACGCCGCGTGTAGAGAAATTCGCGTAGGCTGTAACCTTAATCGACTATGTACATCTTCAATGGTCGATTAAGTGAATCGACTATGCTCTGGTAGTCGATTAAGGTTGATTGACTCCATATTTTTGTTTTTTTGGATTTTTTGTTTATTGATTCCAATTGTATAAATCAATTACAATGTTTGTATATTTTTTATTTTTCTAAAATATAGCTGACATTTTTTTGCAATTGTGATTTGTTATTTTTAGTAGTAGATTCTTAATCGACTATGCTTCATCAAAGTCGATTAATATACCTGGTATAGAAAAAAAAAAAAAAACAAAAAAAAATTAAAGAATTTCCTTAATCGACTATGTTTCATAGTCGATTTACCTTAATCGACTATGCTTCATAGTTAATTAATAAAACTGATACAGAAAATAAAAAGCAAAAAAAAAAATCCGTTGATGACCAGCGCGTGACGCAATGATGATGTGGCAAACTGGGGCAGAATTGGAAAAATTAATGGTTAAAAAAAGGTGTGAACTTTTCTCAAATGGAGCAAAATATTTTGCGTATCTCCCCATTAAAAGAAGTAATGGGGGATTTTCTAAAAGAACCCCAAAAATATTTATATTATGATCCCCTGATGTACATTGTTTAGAGGCTGAAGGCGCACGCCTTGTCTGTCTACCCCTTAGGCCGAGTCTAGAACTATATATTCCGAAAATGTTACAACTTATAAGTATCCTTTATTTAGATCAAAGAATATAGATGGAACTATTCTCTTTTATGGTGGTGTTTGCAAAATCATTTACAAACATATTAAGAGTTTTTTTTGCTCATAATCTATTTTTAAGTATTTGTAAAATGAACTTTTGTTTTTGCTTATCTTAAAATGAGCAACTTTAAACAATAATTTATTAAGCACCCATGACCCTGTTTTTTTCTATTTAAGTTTGTTTTTCAGTAAATTAGCAAACACCCATGTATGTCATGTTTCAGGGAGAATTACAGTTTCTGTCCCTCATATTGCACCCGATTTCACTTTTGGTTCCGTTGTTTATAATCTCATGTCTCTAATTCGGATATAATTGGGATTTTCACAATATTTTTCTATGTTTTTGAAATTTTAAAGGAAAATCCAAAGAGAGTTCCACAAAATGTGATAAATAAAATCACATATAGAGAACAATTGAAATATCGATTTTATGATAGAAAAATGCAATAGAGAGTTTGTACTACCAATTAATCTTTTCTAAAATTTTAATTTTTCATATGAAATATAACATAAGTTATATTATGGAATTACAAAATATATCATAAAATTATATTATACATTTCCAAAAACAGTTAAAATATTCTAAACAAAAATCGGATCGAACCGGGATTTTCGATAATTTTATATATAATTCCGATTCCGTTACAAACAAATTTTGAAAATTCGGAAATCGAAATGAAAAGTTCGATTCCAAGTTCAAATATTTTCAGATTGGAATTGGCGAAATTCTCAAATTTCATTTCGATTTCCACCCTCAGGTGAAGATTGATAATATGTATAGTGGTGAGTTTTTGAATTAGGGAACTTAATTATTTAGTGCAATTATTTATGAAAAAGGAAAAAGAGAAATTCTTGTTATATATGGTTGAACAATGAATAATTGTTTATTCACCAATTCTCAAACAAAATAATAAATTTCCAGCTAAAAAATTATTACATATTATACAATAATAAATATGAAAATTCCCATGTGGCGAAAAAAAAACCCATCTCGAAAGAAAGAATACACACATCAAATTCAAAATCCAACCCATCCTATCTATCTTAGCCTTTTCCTTTGATCGGCAATAAATGATACGTGTCCCCTCCAAAAGCGGCGTGTCATGCAAAACCTGCATTCTCCCAACACGTGACACCCCTCACGTGACACCGCCATGCATCTCCACCTTCATTATAAACACACACACACAACACACACTTCTCACATATTATTACCAACTGTACCAGATCAAAACCCACCACCGTCAAATTTCATCGATCAGCTCAAACAATGGCCCAGGTTCAGCACCACGCCGCCGGCCGCTACGACGAGCCGCATCACAAGCAGCAGCTGTCCCGCCAGGTGGCAAAAACCACCACCGCCGTCACACTCGGCGGATCTCTGATGGTCCTCTCCGGCCTGACTCTCGCAGCCACCGTCATCGGCCTGGTTTTGGCCACCCCACTTCTGGTGATATTCAGCCCAGTTCTCGTCCCAGCTGCAATAACCCTTTTCTTGATCTTCGCCGGACTGGCCACCTCCGGCGGGTTCGGCGCCACCGCCAGCTTCGTGTTCTACTGGATGTACAGATACGCGACGGGGAAGCATCCAATTGGGGCGGATCAGCTTGACCGCGCGCGGGAGAAGTTCAGCCACGCCGCCCACGATGTTAAGGAGAAGGCCGAGCATTACGGACAGCAGACGCACGCCAGGGGCGGCGCCGCCGCACAGGGAACTTGAATTTTTATATTTTATTTGTCTTTAGTTTAAAGAAATAAAGATATTTGTGCTTATTGATTTCTGTATTTCTGTTTTTTTTTTTTTGTGTGTGTGTATGTGTTTCTGTGGGTGTTGTTGTTGGTTGACAAATGTTTGTGTATTTGTAATTTAATTACTCTTTTGATGTGGATGCACTTTAATTTTGATCTAATTTGTTATTCCTATTTTCTTTATTTCAATTGATGCTGCTTTTTTTATTTTTGTTTTTTTATTATTTGATTATTTTCCTTTTTAAATGTGGAATAATATTTTTCTTGTTCGACTAATGGTATGGACTGGTTAAGAAAGATGAGTAGGTAATTTTAGGGAAATTCTATGCTACACCTGGTGAATATAACCAGGTACCTAAATTAATAGGATTCCCACTACGGGTTCAGTTATGGCCCAATGGATTTTAGAAATATAATTATAAAATAAATAAAAAAGGAAACATGTCAAGAAAAGAGCCACCCGGGTGTAGCATCGTATTCCCCGTAATTTTATTTATCGCCCATAGTTTTCCATAGAGTATTTATAGAGAAGTGTGATTCGTTACAGCTTATATAATAATTATTGGACAAAAATGTTTCACAAATACTAATGTATTCAAGTAGACTCGATCGGGTTAAGGAAAAGAAAACTGATTCCGGGGGATGGCGATTTGGCGGTGATGGATGTGGTGGGGTGGGGGCGGATTTGATTTGGCGGTGATGGATGTGGTGGGGTGGGGGCGGATTTGATGCTACACCGGATATTTAAACTCATTTGAACTATAGATCTACAAGCATATGTGTATTTGTGCTAAGTAGTTAAGTTATTTAATCAAATTTGCCGTTTAAATTTATTCGGTATAATATAAATAAGAGTAAACTGCAAAATGTACTCCTGTGTAATCTCTAAATAGCAAAAATCTCTATGTGATAAATAAACTAGCAAAAACCCCCCTGTGAAATTTAGTTAAAGGAAAAAACCCCTCTGGCTGACTTGTGTGTGGCTCACTCACGGGTTGCGGTTGCGCGACTGGTAGTTGGTTTTTTGACGTGAAATGATGAAATTGACCCTTAAAATGTATTTATATGCATATATATTATATGTATATGTATTTTCTTTTTAATTTGGTTGTTTAAAAATTAATATATTGTTAAAAAATAGTAAATAATTAAATTGAAAAATAATTAAAAATTTGTTAATCAAATTAAGTATATATTTTTTTAAATACATAATAATGAAATTTAAGTTTTCTTTTGATGTAGGGATAATCTAAAATATATACAAAAATTATGTGATAATAAAAATAGAAATAAATTAAAGACTCCATTGTACTTTATAATTAAGATTTACAAAAATAAAATAATTAAAATATTTAAAAAATATAAGAATTTATTAATTCCAAAATCCCGGGAGTATTTGGGTCTTTTTATATGAAGCCAATCATCAAATGAGTAATGGGTCGAGTGTGCTATTTAAATAATTTCACAGGGGGTTTTTGCTAGTTTATTTATCATTGAGGGGTTTTCACTATTTAGAGATTACACAAGGGTAATTTTTGCAGTTTACTCTATAAATAACTATGTGTGCCGTCTAACTCGTATTTGTGCTAAGTAGTTAGTTATTTAATTAAATTTGCCGTTTAAATTTATTCGGTATAATATAAATAACTGGGTATACCATCTAACTCTCCATGTCGAAGAACGCAACTCTCCATTCCATGTAGAAGAACGCACCTCTCCATGTAAAAGAATGCCTGTATTTCTACTTGTATTGCACTCTGAATTTTTGGAATTTAATTTTGGGAAATTAGGGAAAATCCCCTCAATACACAAATAATAGAGTCTAATCTTATTTTAATATACTAAAAAAAAATATCTCATTTTAATATTAGTCATTTGTAAAAAAATCTACACCCCTGGGGCGTACCCATGAATATGCCCTGGTGGTCCCCGCCCCCCAAGAATTTTTCTTTTTTCAACATTTTTTTTAGGGGCAATTTGCTATAGGTCCTCCTATAAGAGATTATATGTCTATAAATCCAACTAATAAAACTCAATTTTTAGTAAATTTATTATTTTTAATACGTCAAAAATATCCCTAACAATATATGGAAAGAAAAATCTCCAAAATATATATCCCTTATTTTTCTCCCTGCATTTAATCAACCCATTCCAAAAAATTCACGTATTCTCAATCTCAAATTCCACCGCTGCCAAGAATCGATTTCTTCAATTTCCATCGCTCCCAAACATCGATTTTATCAATATCAAACCTAACCAAAAATCGAATTGAGTCTGTCATAGGTAGGGTCCTCGGACCGTTTGCAATTTACAAAATGTCGTTTGTTGTTTACTTTGAGGAATTATATTTTTTTTTTCTTTTCTCGTTTGCTATTTGAAGATCGTTTGTTGTTTGAAGACATCGTTTGTTGTTTCTTCATCTGTTTTTTGTGATTTCTACAATCACTCAAACACGATTTAGTCTCAGTAAGCAATACTCCTATTAACTACATGTACATATGATTGTTCGATTTTTTCAATACTCATTCAAAAGCCCTTTTTTTTCCTTCAGACATCGAACGAGGCTGATGAATTCGAATCCCCGAGAAATCAGATATAAATTGCAAGGTTTGTTGATGTTTTTTTTAGATGTAACTATATTTTAAGTTTGCATCTCTAATTTCTTGAGACTAAGTATTTGATTGTTGCTAGTTCGAATTTACTATACCGAATTTACATTTTGTTGTTTCGAGTTTACATTTTGTTGTTTCGAGTTTATTATTTACTATGTTGAGTTTGTTTTTTGGTATTTAGGTAACTGTATCAAAAATTTGGTTTGCGTTTAGTTTGAAGTCTACAAATTTTAGTATGATTTGGGCTTTGCTATTTTGAGTCTGCACTTAAATTTTTAGTATGAGTTTGCATGTTGTTGTGGTTAATTTGGTGAGCATGTTACTAGGGGCTACATCTAGTTGTTTTGCAATTGGATATACATTTCTAATTGCAGTTTGCACTTGCGGTTCTCTATTATAATTGAAGTTGTTATTTGTTGTTTGCAGTTCATGTTTGGTCTTAATTGAAGTTCTTATTAGATGTTTGCAGTTTGTATTTTACAAATCTTGTTTGAACTTGCATATGTTGTTCGTTGTTTGCAATCACAATTCTTTTTTAGCTATTTTCCTTCAATTTGCAATTAGTAAATTGTGGTTAAAGTTTGCAATTTATTATTTGTAGGTTCAAGATTGTACATTTTATTCTATCATGTGAGTGTTTCAACTCATCATGCACGGGAAAAAAGAACGTAGACCATATTCGGTTGATGCCGCTGACAAGAAGATGTTCCTCGATAGTGCGAGTGGGCAAAAATTATTGTTTAATGATTTACTATCATTTTACTCTTTGAAATTTAATTTATTGTTGCGGCAAATATAATTTATTGTGAAAATATTATACTTTTTAGATTGTGGCTGCACATCCTATAATATTGTATAATTTGTTTTTTCTATTTTAATTTGCATTTTTTATTTATTTTTTATTGCAAACACATCTTGTTATTTTAAATAACTTTGGTAGTTTATTGAAACAACATCAATTAAAAAATGCAAATAAAAATAATAATTCAACTATACATAGATACAAAGAAGGAGATATGGGAAAGAGAGATGATATGTGGGATGAGAGAGAAACATGTGTGTGTGAGAGAGAAAGAGAGACACACGTGAAAGTAAGAGAGGTGAAAAAGGAGAGATGAGAGGGAATTGATTGATAGAGTGATATGTGAGATTTGTTCCCTTATTTAAATAAATAACTATATAAATATTAATTGAGGGTATTTATGGGTATATACTAATAGTTTTATTTTATTTAAATTAATTTCATTGACTAAAGGACCTATATCTATATTCATCTAATGAAATGGATCTCTACACATATAAGTCCAAAACTAGGGGTGTCTAGCAAATTTCCCCTTTTTTTTATATATTAGTTAATGAACTTTCGCTTCCTCAAATTTCAAAATTTGTACACTTTATTTCATAAAAATAGGGAATTGTTTTTTGCGGTTTGAAAATTGCTATTTGCGGTTTCTAACAAAACCCCCCAAAAAAACATTTTATTTCACTAAAACCCCAAAACTTTCCAAAAAAATCCAAAAACACCCCCCAAAACGCGTAAACGCCCAACTTGGGCGCCCATTCATGCAGTGCACGCCCAAGTTGGGCGTCCACTGCAAAAAAAAAAATTTTTTTTTTTTTTTTTAAATGTTCGAACGCCCCAGATAATGGTGATGACTGATGAGTACATATTTTTTTCAATCGCGCTTTCAAAAAGTCCCGTAAATAAATAATACCGCGTATCTAAATTTGTACAAGTTTTTTTCTTTAGGCATGCATTACTAATAGCTTCATATTATCGAGCTACCATGAATTAATTCAAAGAAAAAGGACCTATGTCTACATTAAAAAGAAAAAAAAAGATGCATATATCAAAATCAACAAGTTTTTACACTCCACCTAGGGCATACCGTAGCAAAATAGTAGCCCAAAGAAAGCTGAGAAACTAAGTAGGGGTTATAAATTTAAATTTTATTGTACATAAACCGATTATTACCCGACCCAAGTTATATACCAAACTGTCCCAATCTGCTATATTGTTTAAACAAAAAAAAAAATTTTTTTTTTTTTTTTACATATCCAACCGAGAGGGAATGGGCTCGGAAAGCAAGTGGGACCGCCCGGAACGGGCGTTCGTACACGCCTTGGGCGCCCATCTTGGGCGTTCGAACATTTTTTTGCGAAAAAAAAAAGCCCTACAAATTGATTTGTAGGGCTTTTTAACATGAAATTGGTTCCGTAATCGACCTACCCAATGCATGTTACACATAAAAGAGTCGAAATTACATCAAAAAATCGAAGCCCAACCCTTCTTCAAGCTTGATTTTGAATTTTCGATTTTTCTTTTTTATTTTTTTTTTTTGCTATTTGCAGTTTTGGGGGATTTTTTGATATTTTTAAAAGTTTTGGGGGGTTTTGTTATAAACCGCGAATAGCAATTTTGTGACCGCAAATAGCATTTTCGAAAAAATAAAAATAAAATTATCTTAATCACACCGATATTACTGCCCCCAAGAAAAACATCATGGGTCGCCCTTGTACCAAGTGGGCTTTGTACAACATACATCTAGTGAAATACACCATGTGTTTTTAAATCGTAAATCTACACTAATAACATACACACCCATGTATATGTGTGCTTAGTGGGTAATTATTTATATAGATCTATTGTTTAAAATCACATGGTGTATTTTACCAAGTGTAGGATCTCAAAAACCCCCTTAAGGATCTCAAAAACCCCCTCATGTATTTATTAGGGTAAATAGGATTTAACCCCCCTGTGGTTTGGACATTTTGCACATGATCCCCTTACGGTATAAAATTAGGCAGTTAACCCCCTTGTGGTTTTGACATTTTGCACATGACCCCCTTATGATATGATATTAGGGACATAACCCCTTGTGGTTTTGACATTTTGCACATAACCCCTTATGGTATAAAATTAGCACATAACCCCTTGAATAAAAAACTGGAAAAGACTAAATTACCCTATCAAGTCAAAATTTCCTGTTTTAATTTAAAAATAATTATTCTATAAAATGAAAAGTTTAATATACTTTTTTTGTAAAATGAGAAATATAATATATATATATATATATATATATATATATATATATATATATATATATATATATATATATATATATATATATATATATATATATATATTTACAACACAAAAGGGTATATAATATTAGTTATTGTACGATTGACAATTTATTCAATTTTAGAAATCAATTTGAAAATATTTAATATTATCATTAATTATGATTATTATATTACTATTTTATATATAATATATTATATTATAGATGTTATCGAATTTTAATATTTTTAAGAAACAAAGTCTTTATTTTTTTTATTCTTTTGGAAAAATCTAAAAAAAACATTTCTCTAAAGTTGAAACAAAAATTAAATTAAAAAAAATACAATAATATATTATATTTCTCAATTTACAAAAAAATACATTAATCTTCTCATTTTATAGATAATTATTTTTAAATTAAAACAAGAAATTTTGACTTGATAGGGTAATTTAGTCTTTTCAAGTTTATTATTCAAGGGGGTTATGTGCTAATTTTATACCATAAAGGGGTCATGTGCAAATTGTCAAAACCACAAGGGGGTTATGTGCCTAATTTCATACCATAAGGGGGTCATGTGCAAAATGTCAAAACCACAAGAGCGTTATGTGCTTAATTTCATACCATAAATGGGTCATCTGCAAAATATCCAAACCACAAGGGGGTTAAGTGTTATTTACCCTATTTATTATTCATGTTTTGTCCTTTCTTCTCCCCTTCTTTCTCTCTCTTGCGCCTCTTTTTTATCTCTTTTAGATTTTTTTTCCCTCTTTTCTCTCATTCACTTTTTCTCTATTTTTCTAATAGGTCTCTTTCTATTTCTCTTTCTTACTTTTTCGCCCTCTTTCTCCTTTGTTTCTTCGTCTCATTCTTTTATCGTCGTAATCATAAATATATTTGTCTCCGTCTATTTTTTAAGTCTATGATGTTCTGATTTTATAACAGGAAATGATGTTTTTGTCGTCGATATTCTTTTCTAGATCACTGGAATCTCAATCATGAACTGCACAATAATATAGTTAACTGGTGAGAAATTATAATTGATTTTGAAATTTTTATGGTTGACATCATAAAAATTATAGTTCACTATCAAATTTTTATAGCTGACTATGGTAACATTATAGTTGACTACCAAAATCTTTCGTTTTGAATTGAAATTTTGTGCCTCTACTGTGTTTTTACTTCAAAGTTAAGTTTTTTTTTTTTTTTTGTTTAAACAATATAGCAGATTGGGACAGTTTGGTATATAACTTGGGTCGGGTAATAATCGGTTTATGTACAATAAAATTTAAATTTATAACCCCTACTTAGTTTCTCAGCTTTCTTTGGGCTACTATTTTGCTACGGTATGCCCTAGGTGGAGTGTAAAAACTTGTTGATTTTGATATATGCATCTTTTTTTTTCTTTTTAATGTAGACATAGGTCCTTTTTCTTTGAATTAATTCATGGTAGCTCGATAATATGAAGCTATTAGTAATGCATGCCTAAAGAAAAAAACTTGTACAAATTTAGATACGCGGTATTATTTATTTACGGGACTTTTTGAAAGCGCGATTGAAAAAAATATGTACTCATCAGTCATCACCATTCTAAGAATGAGTAAGGAAAACTAGGATTATCAAAGAGTGAAAAAAGAAAAGATAATCACGACTAGTCAAATTGAGTTTCTAAATATTTAAATTAAATCTCGGGAGATTGTTTACCTATATTAAAATACAACACTCTCGAATCTCATGGGGCATGCTACCATTATTCTATGCATTCACTTCATCTGATGTAGCATTTACAAGACGAAGTCTCTCAGCAAACACCCGAATCAAAGTTTCGTATAAGTTACTTTGAACAGAAAGATAGGCAGCATAAATACAACGTATAAGCTATTAATCACTGGATCTATCTTACTGTAAAAGTACGAGAACACGTGGATTCGTACAACCTTGCCCCAGCACAATATTCTGACTTTTTCTCAGCATGTAAAAAGCTTTTTCAATTCCCAGAGAGTGAGGAATTATTTTAAAAAAGAAAAATTCTTGTAGATAAACCGATTATCACCCAACCCATTCAATTTGATGCAACGGAATTCATGTTGAAAGAACAAAGATGTAAGAAAAGATATGGAATATGTCATTTGAAATAGCAAGGGCTGACAAAGCAGATAATCGAAGTAGCTAAGATAGCAAAGAGACCTGGTCAGAAACATTTATATCAAGTCAAGAAGCTCAAAGCCGAAAAACAAAAGGTCCTCATTTCATGTGCTGGTCAAATCATTCCAGTTCTCCGGTTTTCTTCGAAATAGCAATGACATTGAAGTTGATTGAGTCGGGATTTTTCTGGATAATCTTTTGGATAACCTTAGCAGCATCCTGTAGTACAAATTTAATGTTTCACCAAACAGATTCGAGTGAGACTTTGAAGCAACACAGAAAATCGGTAGTGTAATTGAAAAAACGTACAAGTAAATGTGAAAAAACATATGGGATTAAAAAAAATTAATAATAATAATTTGTAGAGAGAGTAACATCACCTTCAATAACGTGCTTGTAGAAGATGCACCGTGTGAAATTGGTCCAGCCCTCCTCCCATCAAGCTCATAAAGTTGTCCTACAAACACCAATATATCATATTTTGATGCCAAGTTTGCACTTAACACTACTCTCATTAATTACCGACTCCCCGTTTGATTATTGAAATATTGCAAGATTTCCATGAATGACTATGCTAGAAAACAAAGTTATTATGATTCTGCTTCAACTTGAACCACCAGCTAACATGCATGTAGAGAACCTTGTTTAAGGATAATTTCATAAAGTCACAAGTGGTAGAGGTATTTAAGTAAATCCAAAGGAAAACTGTTATCGACTCAATGTAATTAATGAAATTAAAAAGAGCTCACAACTGCTTAACTGTTGAAATGACTCATCACAAAGTACTATGTGTTCTAATAGAGATGGTCAATAAACACACATTTTAGACTGAACCAGTAATATAAATTCCATATATCTCTAAAGGGTAAATTACAAACACCCCCCTGAGGTATGGTCAAATTACAAAAACCCCCCTCTTGTTTGGATAATTTCATCTACCCCCTCAACTATGATTTTTTCTTACACCTCCACTCTTATGGTGCCAAATTCAACATAATCATCTAGATTCCGTGAAATGTGCTCTAGTTTGTACTCGTTTTGTGTAAAAATACAGTTTCCGATGCACCACAAACTGATATATATACAAGCTAAAAATCACATATTATGATCATCTTGCTTCATAATGTAGAGTTTGAATGGGATAAAACGGGTACAAAAGTGATAATATTCCATATAATCTCGAAGATTCCACTAAATTTGAGGAGTTGAGGGGGTGGTTGTAATTATCCAAACAAGAGGGGTGTTTTTGTAATTTGACCATACCTCAGGGAGGTGTTTGTAATTTACCCTATCTCTAAATAAACATGATGCCTCCGATTTGATAATAAGAACCCAAATCTGACTCACTGCATTATAATTGAAAGAAGTGTGTGTGTGTGTGTGTGAGTGTGTTTCTCTGTGTGTGTGTGTGTGTGTGTGTGTGTGTGAGAGAGAGAGAGAGAGAGAGAGAGAGAGAGAGAGAGAGAGAGAGAGTTACCATTAGCGCATGAAAAACAGATGAAGTGTGTATCTACATTGTCTGATGCCTGCCAAATATACAGGATCATAAATAATTAGTTTCTGGACCATACAAATCATAGATGTATTTAATTAAAAGAAAAACTGATAAAATGACACGATCAAAACCTAAATTGTACAATACGCAAGTATGTATGCCACTAGGACAAGATTAAGAGGCACAACAAAACTGTTTAATTATCCCTAGAAATGACCTGGAAAAAACGAAATAGAACACCACTTTGTAAATGTTTATGAAACAGGAATGCCACTTTTATCGACCATTGTAATAATTTTTAACATATAAAGGTTATGCCAAAAACAATCATAAGTTGATATAAGTCAGTTCAAACTAGCTCAACACTCTCATTATAACTGCTCAATCGCCCGACTGTGGGTACTATTGCACTAATAACTTAAGGAAAACAATTTCACAACAGAATCTCCAACACCATTAAAAAAGGTGTTCTAAAAAAGGTTTAACACAGAAACGAGTTCGTGTTTGTTAACGGGAAGTATATCCAAATCAGAGTAAAATATAAGGAACACAGAAATGCATTACAAAAGTTATCCGAATTCCGAAGGGGTAAAAGACTAACTGTATCACTAATTGAAATTACCAGCTTGTGAACTAAAAGGAAAAAGTTGAGTTAAAAAACGAAAAGAAACAATATAATAATGCATAATACAGAAGGATTATCTGTTTTAAATTCTGACCTCTGTCTCGCCAGCAGTTGCTGCAACTGAATGAGCAACTTCCATTTCTCTATCATTTTCAAGAAATGTGGCACGCTGCATGATAATTTTTATTACAGCAATTATTAGATGGAAACAAAGACAATTGCGTAAGTATAGGCACACAGATTAATTACAACAAATGAAAAGTAACAAGGGTACCAGACCTCTGAGGGGTTCATTTTTGCAGTGGATTTGAAGAACTTGTCCAGGTAAGACCCGTCAACTGAAAAAAACATAACAAAGCAAAAGATATAAAATCAATTTAAGCTTGCAGATCGTAAATCCCTTGAATAAACTGAAATGAAGAAAATGACACAGGATCAGAAATTGTTCTTAAAGATAAAATTCGTGTAATTAATAATTAGATAGATTGAAGTGCTGCAGATAACTAACAAAATGAAGAAAAAAAAACCCGATAAATTAGAGATAAGTAGACGAATATGAATTGGTATACACACATTACGGGGTATCCCAATCCCCACTCGGTAACATAACATCAAAAGCTCATCTAAAGCACAAATGTTCACACGCATATTAGAGACATTTGGTTACAACTTACAAAATGATCGAAAAGATGAACTGAAAACTCTTCATCGCATGAAAATAATCGGCAGGACGGATATTCAGAATCCAAGAGCTTACCAAGATTTATCTCAGAAGTGATGTTTCCGACAGCATGAAGAAGCCCAATGGTTCCACATGCATTTCCAACAGTTTGCTTCATAAAGTAAACTTCACTGCTTAAGTCCTGTAGGTAGACGCTCATTAATTCAGCTATCAAAAATTCAAGAAGTAAACTGAAACAGAACATAAACTTAATTAAAAGTCCGAGTAGAAGAAATAAATGAATTGAAGTCTGCATCAAAATAAAGCAAGATACAATCCAACGTAATAACAATTACAAACCATATTACATTATATTCACCAAACTTTGGACGAACGCTTTCAAAATTAAATGAAAAAGGAAAGCAAAACTATTGTCATTTACCCAACACAACCACGTTACTGACAATATACAGACAAGTAAATCTAACGGCATTACATGAAGTTTCCAAAAGTTTAACGCTGACAAATAATTTGTGTTACACTATATTTACAAGAGCAAGCCCAAATAAGATACAAAATGAGAGCAGACAAGCCCAATAATTTACTGATGAAGCAAAATTAAACCCGGAAACCACATAACGTGAAACCATAACTTAACTCAACTAACGCCATCAAATCAAATACAGACCAAAGAATAACCAAATAAAGTATATGCAGAATTATCAAGTCCTGCAAACATTTTGACGTTAGCAATATGCAGACAATTATACAAGTCACAGCAAATACGTACCAAATCGACATAAAATGTTTAGATTCTAATACTTTTCGACGAACTAAGTTTCTCAATATCACGAGTATCCGTTAGTGAGAAAGATAATAAAACTGTCGGTCCTAATAATAAACTCTAGATACGAGATATTAAGTTACAGAACTCACCTTGATTGCACTATCTTGTTCGATTCTCTCTTCTTCACTCTGTAAAACCACAAATTTGTCATATAAACAACGTAACAACGATTTTGAGCCCGAAATATATCAAATCATTGGATTTCAAAAATCCACCATTTCAAAATCCAACGTTAAACACCAAAAAAACAAAATCAATGATTTTAATCCATTATTTACATTTCGTCATGAAAAAATCGACATTGTTCGACAAATAAATTACCTGTTTGGTTAAGGGGTAGAGGAACAACACAGCAAGAACAGGCTTCGGTACCATTTCTAAGAGTTCGTCATCGAGTCCGTAAACATCAAAGCACTCTGCCTCATGAGGTGCAACACCAAGCCCCCATAGAAACTGCTTCATCACAAACTATTGTCTTAAATAAACTAATCATTTTCATAAACGTAATTAAATTACTTAGATCTCTTCTATATATATATATATATATAGTTTCCATAAATATATCCTTCGATTGATAGTATTTTCTGCACATACGTCGATCCTTGATTCATTTTACTCCAAAAAAAAAACACGAATCAAATGAGGATAAATAATTCACAATATACTGAAACGTATTTTTTTTAATGAATTATTTGTTGGTATCGACGGATTCTAAAATCAGAAAGAAAAATAAAATTAGAAACGCAATTTTTTATTGAAATGAACTGTAATTTAAATGCGGAAAGGAGGAGGATGGTACCTGGTTCATAACATCAGGGTTAGCTTCAAGAGGAAGCCATCTCTTCGCAGAAGGTTTGTCCGCCATTTCTTCTCTCTCTATTATTTTTTTCAGGTTGCTCTCTCCACTGGGTTTCGGTCGAGTTTTATAGGAATTTGGGTCATTTGCAATTAAACCCTTATAGTTTATGCATTTTCTTTTGGGGCAAATACTATAAATCCCTAAACCCAAATATAAAGTGCAGGTCAGTCCCCAACAACATTTTTTAAGCGTATTGGACCCTAAATCAAACATAAATATCACTTAACTCCATAACTGGTGTGCAAAGACCGAAAAACCCTTCACCTTATTTTGAAATTACCTGCAAATTCTGACAAAACTTTTCACCTACTTTTTCACGCGCCGGTTGAGAGTCACGCTCCATACCTTTTTAACTATCCGTTGTCATTCAATTTTCGAACCATTTCCTCAGCGGTTTCTAGCAGTTTCTTCGTGCAAGCGATTCTTCAGGTTTTTCGATTTTTGTTTGCTTGTATAAATAACCACAACAAGGCGGAAAGTAGACAGGAAACTAAAGTAATAATTTTTGAAGTAGAAGAATGGTGAAGACAAAGAAGGGGAAGGACAAGCAAGGTTTTTTTTTTTTTTTTTTTTTCAGGAATCGATTATGAAATTTGTTGTTGTTTTTTTGCTTAGGTTAGCAAAAAACAAACTGCATGTTCTCATATTGAATGATTTTGAACATTTCCAGTAGTTGGTAGTATCCAACGGCGAGATTGGGGTTTTCTCAAATAATAAAATCGAACAACTGGTTCCAATAAATGTTGTTTTCTTGTTTATGTTTGCAAAAATTGTTCATTTTCTGTTGAATTGCATGATTTTGAACACTTTCACTCTTGGGTATCATTCATCTGAAACATTAGTATTTCCCCAAATCACTTTTGGTCATAATAAGGGTTTGATTTTGGGCATTAGATGTGTTTAAATAATATAAGTCTTACTACACAACGGTAGTGCTATTGTAGTTAGAAGGTATAAAAAAAGGTAATGGCATTTCTTCTGATGTAGTATATGTAGTATTGCCTAATAGTATAGTTAATGTAGGTGTATGGTATTGATACAATATAGTGAAGGTATAATTACAATAACTACATAGTACCATTATTATCTTACAATTGTATTTTTTCTGATTATTGTTTTTCCTTTATAATCGTGATACACTTGCAGATGATGACGCCCAACAAGCTTGCAGGTGCTCTCCTAGCGCCTTCAAAGAACAAATGGACATAATTTAACCATTGATGACGGCCAGACGTTTTGCTGCCTTGGAGGAAAATCCTTTCGGGCATTTCTTAAACATGCCTAAAATATACCATAGTTTCTTAAAGGTGTTTGTTCTGTTGAAGAAGACATACAACGTGGAGGAACGTACGTTCTGGTTTGGAGGTAAAACTATCCCTGTCGTATTTGATCCTAGGGAGTTCTGCATCATGATGGGATTACAGTTTAAGGGGTACCCATCGATAAAAGACTGGAAATAGAAATCCTTTCATTAGACGTGTTTTTGGGGGTAAATTGACCCAAGTAAAGTGTCATAAAATTGCTGAAAATTTGGAAGAGTATGCTGTTAAGACCGACCAACAATCCATTGAGGATTTTTGTAGGTTGTACATTATTTTCGCTTGCAATACTTTCTTATTGCCAAAAGGCAACTTTCAACTGCCGAGGTACGTTTATCCACATGTGACAAATTGGAGCGCGTAGTAGATTTTGCGTGGGGAAAGTTGGTGTATGGTGTGTTCATTGAAAATATTGAGGCACACTTGGCTGGGGCAGGAGGGTATTTTGATGGTTGCACCATTGGATTGTTGGCATGGGTGAGTGAAAGGATCACTTCTTTGGGGTTCGCAATAAGCGTTTTCGAATACCCAAGATTTTTCCGATGGTCCGACTCCAAAATACCAGCCGATGAACGTCAGACTAAACATCTTTATAGAGATCTCACACCAGACAAGGCAACAATTTGATGTATGCATTTTCATTGTGTTATTTGCTTACCTAATAAACAAATGTACAATTTGTTTATATGTTTATTAGGTTATATCATTCTCCGTGCACAAAGAAGAGTGAAAGTTTATGGTTTCACATGTGGAAGAACTATCTGGTCCTATTGTTGCAGCTTTGGAGGTCGTTGGAAAAGTGGAAGTCAGGCGTGTAAGTGAAGAGTACTATTAATGAGATGGACATGTCCCATTTGTAAACCAACGTGATGTTTTTGTATTACACTAATCATTGTTTATTTTATGTGAACTGCAGCAGCATATTGAAAATGCACATCAAGTGAATAGGAAGAATGTGAGATTGGAAGAGACAGAAGGGAAGAAGAAGAGAAGAAAAGCTCTTATTTTTTAAGAGGAGGAAGAGGAAGAGGAAATAGAAGAGCAAGATGAAAGGAAAAATGAAGTGGAGGAGGAAGATACATTTTTTAATGCTGTTGAAGAACTTGGAGATGAGGAAAAAAAGAGCAAGAAGGAGAACAAGAAGAAGAAGAAGAAGAAGAAACCTTGATAGAAGTACTGAACATGGAGATGGAAAGAAGGTCGAAGGCAAGAGAAGACAATCGAGGAAGAAATAGTCGAGGACAAGAACGCAGCACAGTCTTTACTAAACTGCCCACAACAGTAATTATGATTATAATTTAATAATAAGTATTATTATTATTATTATTACTATTATCACTAATGATTACTTTGGATATAGGTTGTCGTAGATAATTTTACGTACCAGGAGAGAACAGACTATGTATGTCGAGATGAACTAACTGATGTAGAGAGGGCAGTACTGGATGGGTACTTGGTTGATGTTGATTTGAGGTAAAATCACTAACTTACTGAACATTTGGTATATAATAACTTCTTATGTAGTATCGGCGTACTAAACAAATAGTGCATGTTTATTTCTATTGTAGTGCAATTGTGATCGAAAGAGGCCCAAATGTATTGACTGGAAAGCATATGTGCGATCTTTGTTTGATCAGCATCTGAGTGGGGAGCATATCGACATATACATGAGTCTGTTAAATTCCGAAGCGATCATGGATGAACATGGGCATGAGATTGATTATCTCGAGACCCCTGCCCAGGTATAAACTGGTTTAACAAATATGTTGCATTATGTGTATACTGGTTTATCTTATATTTTTTTTATTATGTTTCGTAGCATGAGATACTGGCACGAGATCAAATGGACTTCAAAAAGATGGGTGATACAGAGTTGGATACCTTTTTCAAGAGCTTAACATATTTTGAATCTACTGCAGTTGAGAAGCTTGGAATAGCACGTCTCTACAACAAAAAATATGTTCTGATACCTATAAACAAATAGTGCATGTTTATTTCTATTGTAGTGCAATTGTGATCGAAAGAGGCCCAAATGTATTGACTGGAAAGCATATGTGCGATCTTTGTTTGATCAGCATCTGAGTGGGGAGCATATCGACATATACATGAGTCTGTTAAATTCCGAAGCGATCATGGATGAACATGGGCATGAGATTGATTATCTCGAGACCCCTGCCCAGGTATAAACTGGTTTAACAAATATGTTGCATTATGTGTATACTGGTTTATCTTATATTTTTTTTTATTATGTTTCGTAGCATGAGATACTGGCACGAGATCAAATGGACTTCAAAAAGATGGGTGATACAGAGTTGGATACCTTTTTCAAGAGCTTAACATATTTTGAATCTACCGCAGTTGAGAAGCTTGGAATAGCACGTCTCTACAACAAAAAATATGTTCTGATACCTATAAACAAATAGTGCATGTTTATTTCTATTGTAGTGCAATTGTGATCGAAAGTGGCCCAAATGTATTGACTGGAAAGCATATGTGCGATCTTTTGTTTGATCAGCATCTGAGTGGGGAGCATATCGACATATACACGAGTCTGTTAAATTCCGAAGCGATCATGGATGAACATGGGCATGAGATTGATTATCTCGAGACCCCTGCCCAGGTATAAACTGGTTTAACAAATATGTTGCATTATGTGTATACTGGTTTATCTTATATTTTTTTTTATTATGTTTCGTAGCATGAGATACTGGCACGAGATCGAATGGACTTCAAAAAGATGGGTGATACAGAGTTGGATACCTTTTTCAAGAGCTTAACATATTTTGGATCTACCGCAGTTGAGAAGCTTGGAATAGCACGTCTCTACAGCAAAAAATATGTTCTGATACCTATAAATTCCAAAGATCACTGGTTTTTGCTTGTATTGGACCCAAACGAAAAAAAAATCGGCATTGGAACTCCCTAACCCATTCTCCGACGAGCCCGGGAATTGCAAACTATATTGTAAGTCCTTAAATCGATGATTACTTCTTTAATTTATATATTGGGGAATGTGGTTTATGTTTTATTAATCCATAGTTTGGGTATTGTGATTGAACGGTGCTGCAATATGGTAATGAGAATACATGTATACTAATATAATAGTATATTTTTTTAGGCGAGTTATTATAGCAGGGTGATTGAAAATAAAACCGCGTTGGAGATACCTTCACATGTCGAATGGGTAGAAGGATGCATACAACAGGATGTGAATGATGATTGCGGGATTTTTGTCTGCATGTGGGCATATTGCCATGCTAGAGATGATGCTGAGACTTGGAAAAAGGCGAAAACTTGCTTGATCAAAAAACTTCGTCCAAAACTAGCACTTGTCTTCTTAAAGCACCAGGGTGTGGATAGAGAGCCAGTAGATGCTGATGCTTTGAACATATTTTGACCCGTATGTTTGTTTTTGAGTTGGGGATTTATCTGTACTTGTCCCTTTTCTTTTCGACAACTAATGTGAGAACATATGTTCAAGTAGGCTTTGTAAAGGGAGGTGATTCGGTGAATAAAAGTCGGCTTCATTTTTACGGATACAGTTTTCACTGCTTCACTCTCTCTGAAAATACAAAAAAAATCTTTTTTTCTTTTTCCTTTTTTTTGTTTTTTTTTTTTTTGTTTTTAATAGAAAAACAACTTGTTGAAGTGAGCTATAAAACAGTGTCAAGAGACACTTCATGAGAAGTGATGTGCCCTAATAAACTAGGCTCAATTGTATGATATTAACCCAATTATATGATATTGGTATTTAAAGCCT